GGGGCGCGGGGGTGCTGTGGGGGGCAGAGCGGCCCTGCGGGGCCAGGATGAGAAGGCAGGGGTCCGCCTTTGCGTCCATCCCTCCAGCCGGAGCCCCTGGGATTTCTCGGGCCGATCTTGCTTGTAAGTTTATTTTTTAAAAGAGGTTCCATTTTCAAAAAAAAAAAAAAAGTTCTAAAAACCGCTGATTCTCCGTTCATAGGTGAGAAACGGAAGCTGAGGAAGGGGATGTGTCAGAGGAGGGATTAGGCCCAGGTCCCCCCCAGCCTGCCGTCCACTGTCTGTTGCTTTGGCTTGAGCCAGAGTCGGACCCTGTGACACGAAGGACGGGGCCTTGACAGTCGGCCCCTGGATGAGTCAGACGAGCCCCACGCTCCCCGGGAAGACCACGCAGGGAACGGAGACCGTGGCCCCTGGGAGCGATGGCGTGTGCTTTTAAAAATCGCGGTAGTCCCTTCCTGCGGTCTCGCTGGCTCAGACGGACGTGTCACTGCCGATGTCCCTCAGCCACCTGAGCAGGTTCCTTCAGACTCCCGTGTGGTGCTGTCAGAGTTGGTTATGCAAGTCTCGCAGGCTTCGACAGCGAGTTTCCAGCCCTTAGAGTCATCTCGTTGGTTAACGTTTTGTGGACGGTCACTCCATCCCTGGCAAGCGTGGACTTCACGAGGGCAGAGAGGGTAGACTCAAGTTCATTGAGTCTTAGACTTGGCGGGGAAGCTGGCAGCCGAGTCAGGGGCACACAGAGGAGGCGAACCAGCCATGTTGTCCCTGGGGAACACAAGTCCCCAGGCTCCCTTGAGACCATCAGGGTTTGAGCTGACGAGTGGTCGCTGGATGGTCCTCTAGGCCCGAGGCCAGAATGCTGTCGCTGTTTGCACCGTGGGGGATGGAGGGCGGAGGAAGCACTCGGTCATCCCACACTGCGGCCGATGAAACTCCAGCTCTGAAATCAGTGTCCTAATGACTGACAGTAGCTGGACCCGGGGCCGGTTAGTTAGGGTGAGGAAAACCTGCAGCGCCGTCGGGAGCTTGTTCTGTCCGCGGGGAGGTGTTCGCCCCGAGGTGGCTGCGGTCAGCTTAGGTTTCCGTCGTGCTCGGGGTGGACTCACCGTATTAAAACCAGGGTGTCCATCAAAGTGGTTAGTTAGCTCACGGCGGCAGAGCCGAGCGCTGGGGCCCTTACGCGCCTGACGGCTTTCCGGTGACACGTGACGTCAGGCAAGCCTCTCCTGGGACCAGGGGTCATGGCTGGGCTCACGTCGAGGGTGAGCTGTTGCAGAATGTCGGGAGGCAGTGGAGAGTGCTCAAAGCCAAGGGCACCCTCCTCTCCGCCCGCGTCCCCCGCGGGGGAGGGCAGAGCTGCTTTTGTTCCGTATTTTCCTTTGAACCAGCAGCTAGGCCTAAATGAGGCTTAAATTTAAGAAGCGAAGTTTCCCATCTGTGAAATCCATTGCCTGTGGGTAGATGTGGAAATGTTCTGTCTTGATAGACGTGTAGATTTGTGCATTTCAGTGTATGCAAGTTTATCCCTACCCCCCACCCAAAGTAACCCCCGTTAACAAAGCTCTCTGGCCTGTCCGTGGGGGCTCATGTGACTCATGGAGACTGACCCCCAGAGCCAGCACCGGCCCCCTGGGAAGGCACGCAGTGGGACTTGGACTCAGCTGGAAGAGATCACTGTCACATCCCCTGGGCTTGATCCCCTGGGCTCGCTCATGCCCAGACTTAGTCAGCGAGCGATATAAACACCATTCGCTAAAATAAAGCAGAAGTCTGGCCATAAAATAATAATAACGGCCTTGACGGTAGCCAGAAGGCTGTGTCGCAGAGGACAGCTTATTAATCGTAACTGTGTTTATGACAGCCAGAACAGGGTTGGTCAAAGGCAGGGACATTTAACAGTCCCCAGGCCTGGCCTCCCACCCCGGGCTGCACTGTCAACCTGAGGTGTCTGAGGTCAGAGGGCCTGCACGTATTTTAAAGGGGCAGAGGTAGGTAGAAACTTGCCTGGATTCTTTTTAAAAAGTGAAGGAAATCTTCCCCAGAAGTGCCCGCTGACCCCACGCCAGCAAACTGCCCTGGCGCGTCGTGTGCCAGGCAGGATAACAGCACCCAGGTCAGCTGGTCACCCGGCGAGGGGCAGGAGACCACCCGGACTTACATGGGCCGGCAGCGTGGCCACCCCGTCCCTCTGCCTGAAACTGCTGTTCCCTTGAGTCCGGTGGCGGGGGCGGGGCCGGGGGTGGCGCCGTCCTGGGGGCAGAAGCGGGTGCCCATCCTGGTGTGTCGTCTCTGTTCCGACTCCCCCTCCATCCCTGCTCTAGCTACTATGCCGTCCTGTACCCCATGGTGTACCCCACGAAGATCACGGGGAACCGGGCCGTGATGGCGCTCGTCTACATCTGGCTGCACTCCCTGGTGGGCTGCCTGCCGCCGCTGTTCGGGTGGTCGTCCGTGGAGTTTGACGAGTTCAAGTGGATGTGCGTGGCCGCGTGGCACCGGGAGCCCAGCTACACCGCCTTCTGGCAGACCTGGTGCGCCCTCTTCCCGTTCCTGGCCATGCTGGTGTGCTACGGCTTCATCTTCCGCGTGGCCAGGGTCAAGGCCCGCAAGGTGCACTGCGGGGCCGTGGTCATCGCGGAGGAGGACGCGGGCCGGGGCGGCCGGAAGGACTCCAGCACGTCCACGTCCTCCTCGGGCAGCCGGCGCAGCGCCCCCCAGGGCGCCGTGTACTCGGCCAACCAGTGCAAGGCCCTCATCACCATCCTGGTGGTGGTCGGCGCCTTCGTGGTCACCTGGGGCCCCTACATGGTTGTCATCACGTCTGAGGCCCTCTGGGGGAAGAACTGCGTCTCCCCGCGCCTGGAGACCTGGGCCACGTGGCTGTCCTTCACCAGCGCCATCTGCCACCCCCTGATCTACGGGCTCTGGAACAAGACGGTCCGCAAGGAGCTGCTGGGCGTGTGCTTCGGGGACCGCTATTACCGGGGACCGTTCGGGCAGCGGCCGAGGACTTCCCGGCTCTTCAGCATTTCCAACAGGATCACAGGTAAGGGGGGGACGCGGGGTCACGGCCGGAAAGGGGTGCCCGCCTCCCAGCCGCTCCGCGGGGTCATGGGTGATGGGTGATGGGCGATGGGCGATGGGCGGGGTCTCAGGGGACCGGATCACACCCGTTGTCCGCTGGGGTCCTCCTCCTGGTCAGCGTCCCACGTTGTACCCGGTCGTCACGTCGCCCTTGGCCGCCTGCTCGTGGCTCTTTCATGCCTTCCATGACGTTGACACTCGCAGAGTACGGGTCAGGAGTTTTGAAGAAAGCCCCTCAGTTTGCGTTTGGCCGAAGCGTCCTCGAGATTAGAATGAGGCTGTACGTTTCGGACGGGACAGAGCCGGCCCTCTGGCCTCTTAGGAGAATCCCACCCCCGTGACCTTGTCTCACCGTGCGTGCCTCCCACGGCCTCCGTCTCCGAGTGCCACTCACTGGGCTCAGGGCTCCACCATGAATGGAGGGAAGAGACACGTTCAGTCACGCAGTCGAGGTGCTGTCGGGCAGGTTTTTCCACTGTAAAGTTGCCGTTTTTCCTGTTGTAATCGATGAACATAACAGAGGAGAGGCTTTGAAGCTATGCGGACATCCCGTTTCTCCTTCAGCCGCCCCCACGTCTTCCCCATGCCTGGCGGGGTGGGCCTTGCCTCTGCCGTTGTCACCGTGTTGTCCTGTTAGGAGCCAGCTGGGTTTCTCAGGGTCCCGTCTGTGGCAGACCATCGTTGGACGAGGCTTTGAGGACACTTGCCAGGTAGCCATGGAAGGAGCCCATGCAGGCCGCAGTTCTGGTCTCCTGCTGGGTGACGCTGGGCAGCGCCAGGCACTCGTCGGGGGGTCTTCCCCCTCCCCTCTCAAGGGGGTCCGGATGAAGAACAGCTCGCAGGTGGCGATGACAGGAGAGGCCGTTACACAAACAACATCACTGATTAGCTTCCTGGGCTTATGGTGTGTCCCTTCTCGAGAGAGGAAGGAATTCTGGGGCTTTCTATTCTGACCACAGGAGAAAAATAATCTCCCTGTATCCCAGCATTTTAACCACTGAAATGCCCACCCCCTGACATTTGCAAGACTGTTTTCAGGTATGGCTTGTGAGCCAGAAGTACACTCGGGTCTGGTTTCGTTTCACGAACTTATTTGTTCCGATTTTATAAAACCACTTACGTCCTAGGCAAAAATATGTTAAACGTTTTCTATTCCTGTGAAAAATGAGGAAGGAAAAAAAGGAGGAAAGAGGGCGGAGGAGGAGAGAATAGCCGGAACAAAAAGAAATATCTGCTTTCGGGCCGACGCTTACTGCGCGAGTCACCGAGTCATTCTGGAAGGGTCGCGAGGCTGTGAGCATGGGCGGGAACGGTGCTGGCAAGGTCAGGGCAGTCGGCGGTGTCCTGCTCCTTGAAGGACGAGCGTCTCGTGGGTGATTTGCGGCTGACGAGTGTGTGGGCTGATGGGTGACTGAGTCGCTGGCCTTGCTCAGGAATGGGA